TTATATTTAAATTTGTATTTGATTTTGATAAGTTTTTACTGAGTTATACATATTGAGAAAAATTCCAAATAATTTTGAATACTCCTGTACATATTGAATGAAATATGTCTAGTTTCATTAACATCCTGCTGGTAATTTCATAATTGATCTGACTTCTGTAACAATATATTTCTATCTTTTGGAGAAGTGGTATGAAAACCAATTGTATTATCATATTGCTGGGGATAGGGTTCTGAACCAAGTATCGAAATGGTATTGACTTGATACTGACTTATAATAAAGTTAATATATGAGTTGTGACCCACTATATTAAACTTATAGTAAATCCAGTACCAACTTGGTACTGAAATAGTACTATTAAAAATTTTAGCTGGGGATTTCATTATTGATTTGACTTCTGTAACAATATATTTCTATCCTTTTGGAGGTAATATGAAAACCAGTTGTATTACCATATTGTTGAAGATTCCATAATTGATCTGACTTCTGTAATATAATATTTCTATCTTTTAAAGGTGTAATATATGAATCAGGCACCTTGCCATATTTTTGTATGGATAATTCAGTTTCCTCCATAATATGACACTATAGCATATAAGAAGACAAGTTATTGCCTGAATTAGTATACTTATAAATCAATTCATTATATGGGCAATAATCTCCACCAGAAAGTATTTTTTGCTACTTTTCAAGATTTTGCATTAATGTATGTCTTGCATAATTAGTTTCACTAGTTGAGGCTACTTCATTAATTTTCCCTTCTCTTTGTGTGGAAAAAACATGAGTAGTATCATTAAGTATTCTGTATAGTTTATCCCAGCCAATTTTTATATATTGCTCTGACCATGGCCTTTCAGGGACTTGTGTATTGGTATTAGTACCTATTCCTATAGTAAATTCAATCCTGTGTTGCTGTATCTATTTCAAAATTTTATTAATATTTGATTCAATCTGTTTTCCTTTGTGATCATTTCCTAGAAATTCTAATAATAATTCAGAGTGTTGTATTGGATTAACAACTTGCCTTTAAGAGCTATAATAATGTAAATTCAAAACAAATTGCGAATATATTAAATTTATATGTAATAGATCACTTTCTAATCAAGGCTCTTCTAATCTCTAATTAACAATTTGTTTTCGTACATAATCAGTATAATACTCTTTTGATTATGAAAAATGTCTACTTGAGCAATGGCATCAATAGAGAGTAGATTAGTTTTTTCTATTTTCCTATATAATGCGAATGAAGATATACCTCCATAAGGTAAAGCTTGCCTATTTTGAATATTGTAAATAGTTTTTGTACTATTCATTAGCAGCATACAATAAATTATAAAAGATATTATATTTCTTCAATTTTTATATATGTCAATTTTGCGGGCCACAAAAATTCCTAGTATAGATAATAAACCATGCTTGTTATTATTACATATACATCTCAACTACAAACTGCTAAATTCAGTCAACTTCTTAATAAAAGTAGCAAGTAAGATATATACTATATTATTATATAAATAAATAACAAAAAAAATAATTATTTGATGTCAAATCTTGGTTTATTCATTTAATTTCAATGGAGTGTTCCAACTTTTGTAAAGATAAAAAGTATCTTTTTTAGCTTTAGTTAAATCGATAAAAATAAATTCTCAATCTTGTAAATTTTTATCAAGTATATCAACAGTATTATACCAGTTTTTTGTATATCGCCAGATAATATTAATAAGTTCATTATATTATACTACTGTCATTAAAGAGAACAATATAATCCAAAATTTTTCTTATTAATTTGGAACAATTAAAAAAAGATTGTGTTATATAAATGCTAGAAATATTACAATGTTTTTCTTTCATAAAATAACATGCAACTTTATCTTGTATTTTTTTAGATTTGGTATATAAATTCTCAAAAACAATCACCATTCCTCTCTCAGATAAAAAATTATCAACCTTTGGCTTTTATCAGGCTTCATAAACTGGAATGAAATTTTTTCATGAAATGGCTTGAGACTATTTGTAATTATTTTATAACAATCTCTCAAATATAAATACTTGGACTTATTAATTTGGTATTTAATCAAAATTAAATTATTGTTTTTAATATAACATGTTTCACCTTTTTTCTTGTTAAACATTTGATTTATTTTATTTCCAAGTAGAAGATTAATAATCTCATTAGTTTTTTAGATCTAGATTACCCACTAATTAATAAGTTAAAAAGCTATTAGGGCATATTATTTAATATGTTAAATTTTTCTGGATTTTTGTATTCATCAATATTTAAAACAATTCTCTTAACTGGATCAAGCTTTTCAACTCTCATATCTGTCAGATTTGTAATATTCATATTTGTTATATAACCTTTTTTAATAAGGATGTTTTTCATAAATGGATATAAATATGAATCAAATGGTATGGAAATAAGATCTATACCTTTTTGCCTGCATATTTATCACTTTTTTTAATTACACATTTGTTGGTTATTTAAGTCTATTTTGCCCTGCTTATAGAATATTGGATTCTCAGAAAAATGTTGAATTATAATTTAAATATTTCATACAATTATTAAAAAATGGTAAAACTAACTTTAGATAATACCTGTGTAATTGCTAAAAGCCAAGGTGAACAATATCTCTCTATTCAATATATTAATACTGAAAGTTTATTGAAGTGGAAATATAGCAATAACTATAAATGGATTACAAACTGTATGATGTAAAATATAAAAATATGTAATGTCAAAAATGTATATCTGATAATTGAAAAATTGATCTAAATGAAGCCTATATATAGTATGATCTAAAGGTGATAAATGTTTATCAGATATATATATTGTATATCAATAGTCATGATAATTTACTTTGGAAATGTGAACAAGAACATACCTGGTATGCTTCTCTCCATAATGTAAAGAAAGCATATGAAACTTGGTGTGCTAAATGTAATAATTGTTCAAAATTGGATATTTCTATTGTTATTGATCTTGCACAATAATGAAAAGATAAATGTCTTTTTAAAAAATATATTAATAACCATATGTATCTTTTGTAGAAGTGTTTCAAATGTTATCAATGGTCTATTTTTCTTTCTAGTGTAAAAAGACTTGGATTTTGGTGTTTATATTACTTGAATCAACATTTCTGCAGTTTGGATCTTACTAAAAAAATTGCTAATAAATGAAATAATAAGTGCCTTTAAATCAATATATTAATATTAACAAATATCTTTTATGGAAATGGAATCAAAAACACACATGATATGCAAGCCTTCATAACATAAAAAATAATAATCACTGGTATATAAATATGCAAAAAATAAGTTCTACAATTTTGAGTTTGTTAAAAATATAGCAAATAGTAAAAGTGATAAATATTTATCTGAAAATTATGTAAATGCCATACAAAACTAATATGAAAATATGTTAATAGGCATGAAAGAACTGTTTCTCTTGCTAGTATAATGCATTGTAATTCCTGGTATCCATATTGTAAACATAAGTATAAAAATTTATGTTGTGAAATTGTGACAAAATATCTTGGTGCACTATTAAAAAATTGCTGACCTGATTTCTTCTTATTACCACTATAGTTTTGCTATTAAAGTTCAAGAAATATAGCACATATAATATATCAAATTCTTTCACCATGCAAATAAAAAAATTTTATTAAACAGCAAGAACACAATCAACTTAAAAAAGAACTCTATAAAAAAATTGAATAGTGTTAAGATATGTTTGGTATTATGAAAATCTATTCGAAAAAATTCCAGAAATCCTTTGGGAACTAGGTCTTATTTCTTAACTACAACTATTTAATATCTGTATTTGGTAGATATTCTTTTTTAATTAATGTGTTGTGAATATAGCAGTTAAGGGACATTTCCCTCCTGTTGTTGTTACACACAATATAAATTGTATTATAAAAATAACATTTTGAGTCTTGATTAAGGGAAATGTCCCATGACTAATAGGGAAACAAATCACAATTGAACAAAATACAAATAAGATTTATACCTTTTCTTTTACATATATCCTGCTTTTTTTGGTTATGTCTCTTCTGCAATTTTAGATCATCTGAATTTTTATGGAATATTGCATTCTAATAAAAATGTTGAATTCCATTAAATTTATATACCAATTTTAATTTCTAGTTATACCCATCTAATTGCATCCCATTTAAAAATGGTGATTTATATGATGGAAATTTCTTGCCTAGTAGATTTTTGAAAATATATTTACAGCGATGCTCACTAGTATAATGAAAACAAAGTGGGCATTATTAGAATTTATCTTTTTGGATTTTATAAGGTGTTTCCTATTGATGGGGTCCACATGTCCAGAGATACACATTTAGGCCATTTACATAACCAGTTTTACCAAAACATTTTTTGCCATGCTTCTTAGCATATTGTTGGGCCTTGGTTATTTTATTAATAATATAAATGAAATTAACAGATCTGAAACAAGTGTTTTTTTCCAATATATTCTAGGACAGATACTGAAGTTTTTCTAGATCTATATACATAAGCTTCTTTATTACAAATCCACACTTTAGAGCATATTTATCTTTTAAGTAATATAAAACTGATTCATTTTTTGTTACTACAATTTTGCAAATTTTATGTACTATATATACTTCTACAATTTTCAAGCCAGGAGATCTTTTCTATTCTCCATTAGCAAGTAGGTAACAAACATTTTCCTCCTTTTTCAATCAATTTTTCTTATTTTTTTCAACAGAACCCTTATATTTTATGGATGGCTAAGATTCTACCTTTTCTAATTTAATGGCTTTTATTGATGCTAGCCCCTACTTCAAGGATCCAAAAGCTCTAATAAAATATGTTGAATAATTATTTAGATAATTGATAACTTCTGACAAATATTTAACACATTCTAGAATTTGAAGTTATACTTTTAATAGCATACTGAATTTTATAAGACATTTTAGCAAGTGTCTTACAAAATCTATCTATAATTGCAAGTTTATGATAGCTATATGGTTTAATAACTCAAATTATGATATTATAAGCTTCCATTAATTGAGAAGTTTCATTCATAAGTTTTCTATTTCGATCATATTGTAAAAAAGTTGGATAAGTAAGAAAGTTATTAAAATTATTATAAATCTTTTTAAAGGATTTAGCAACCTCTGAACTATTTTTGAATATAAGGAGAATAGCATATATTTAAAATATAATGCAATATCTATAATAATAAAAATTCATTTATATGTCTTTTTATTAACAGTATCATTTATAAGACATAATAAATCATACTGATATATACAATTCAGACATGCAATTTTTCTAACTAATCTGTAAAGTATTGTTATCAGTACATGACAAGTCTGTCACTAATCTGGACTAGGTCATCACGTAACAATAGGTATGTAGAGGCTTGTGTCACTTGCTAACCAGAGGCACTTGTTAATAAACCCCCTTCTCTTTTATTACGGGTCTAATCCTCTACCACAATTCTTTATAGGCTTCTAGAATTCACACAGCGGCTAATATCCAATTAAGGTATGTTTATTAATTATACTCGTGCAAATACAATGGGTACAAGTTTATAAAATACC